AATGGTCGAAAGCGTGTCGAAGTTGGAACGAGCGGATTCGACGTAATTTCGATTTCTCAACGGGAATTCGGAATATCTTGCTGTTTCATCGCGCGACCACGCGACCCATCGCGGGCTGCTTCCGACCGTTCCGTGTCTCCGCACCGACACCGACCTTCCACCCCGCGTGCACTCGAGGTGGCGCTCGAATTCGAACACGCGGCCGGTAAGTGTGTCAAATTTCGACTTGGCCCAGTTCCTGCATAATCTTCAGAGAGACACGGCGGACCCGATCGCCTCTACGCCTCGTCCCTCATTATCGATTCCCAACCGCCGAAATGCCGTTTTCGAACGCAACGTGAACAACGTTCGTTCGTTCGTTCGATCGATCGATATATTCCTCGAAGTAATTCGACTTCGTAATTTTAGATTTCGAGAACCGTGTGACGGATAGATTTGTAACGTTATATTATCGACATAGCGATGTAAAAGTATCAAATGTTTGCTGGAAATCAGCAGTTGATATATCATTATTAATTTTTCCAATTTATAACGGTAATGATTATTGATTGGATGATTGCACGAATCGATGCGTTTCATTAAGCGAAGTGAAATCTCTATTAGCAGCTGGCTATTCTCTACACGCGTACACATGTTATATGATTACTTTACAAAAAAAAAAGGTCTATTTAGAACGTTTGGGTTTTGCATTTCACGGATCATTGACATTCCTCGATCAGATATTCGCATTCCGTGGAAAAGACCATCGTCCCAATATTTCGAGCGATCGACTCGTGTTCCAAATACCGTGAAATACCAGAAGCTTTCGTCCATTAGCATCCTGTTCTTCAATTCTTCTCGATTCGACTTAATATTAAAAGAATTACTCTCGTATTTTTCGCAAAGGAAAAAAAAAAAAAAAAATAAAGAAAAGGAAGAAGAATGACAATGAAATGTTTTGTCCTCTTATTTTTTCATCCGAATCTAATGTGTCGCGAATCTTTTGACACGATCTACGGGTGAGGTTGCGTGTTTGAAAAGAGGCGAAGAGGCGATAGGCCCAGACGATGGGAACTTTACCACGGGAATGGAGAATCCTATTACGGAGTCGGAGATGAGTATGACAGGCCGGGGCCTATGAATGCGAGTGTACGCGTGTGTACGATGCGCGTCTTCTCGTCTACCGTCGCGTACCCACACCATCCTCGTCCTATTGAGAAGTAGATAAAAACAACTAAAGTAATTGTGTGAACCGTACCACTCGCATCATGATCCGAATCGCCTTTAATTATTCGTCCATTTGCGAAATTCTTCTTCTTCTTTTTCTTTTTTTCCCGTTCTCCAATCCGTCGAATAAAAACATGTATTCGACATATATATTCATACTTTTCTCTATCTTTCGACTCGATCTCTCGGTATTAGCGCGTCGCTCACGAGAGAGAGATACACGAAAATAACTTTAAATCCTTAAACGCAACAGATTGGACGGAGATCATCATTGGACGGTGTTTTATCCTTAAGTTAAGATTGGCTGCTCGCGGTTGGTAGAACTCGGTTTTGAAAACCGAGGGAGAAATGGTGGGGGTTGAGGCTTGGAGAAATACAGTTAAGAATTCGTCGCACGTGGAATCGCTATATATCTAGCTGTTCTTGCCCTTATCTGATGCTCCATTTAAATAAGAATTCCTAATTACCATTGTGTACATTTCCCCTCCAGTCACGATTTACGATTTGCCGTGGATCGATGTTACACGCGGAATGACAACGATCGCCGCTTGTCATCCACGCCCGTTAAGGGCACCTGTCTTCCCTCCCTCTCTCTCTCTCTCTCTCTCTCTCTCTCTCTCTCTCTCTCTCTCTCTCTCCCGCTTATCAATTCTAACGGTACCGCGACGAGGACATTAGCATATTTTTGACGCACGCATAATGGGTAATTTATAACGTATATACGAAGGAACAATCGGCGATCGATCAACGATAAATGGAAGATCCTAATTGGCCCGGGACTAACGAGCTATGCGATTATGGTTTTAACGTTTTAACTGATTCGGATTCTTCGTGTAACGTATTAAGATAATGCTATCTTCCAGACAGATTCATTTTAACTATACAATTTTGCTATGCAAAAACTTTGTAGCGATGAAATATATTTCTGAAAATCTGTTCGCATTGTTTATTAAGAATTTGAAAAATGGAATTATTGTTATAGAGAAAAATATCCGTTTTAATTTCCATTTTCTTTTTCCTTTCACGGATCCATCTCGAGCTACGAAGTTATTATTATTGGACGCTAATGATACTCGTACTCGTGCGTTTCTGTAGATCTCATAGTCGATAATATCATCGTCGATAGCATACCATCGGTTCCCAATAAATAATTCGTTTGAATGAATTCCAGCATTACCACCATCAGCATTACAATATCTGCTTACATCTTCAAGTCTCATTACCATTAACATAAATTTCTCAACTCTTCGCATTAGTAAACAATGGAACGTTACATTTTACAGAATTTTCAGTGAACGAAAATCGAAACGCATACGAGATTCCTACGTTACTTTTTCTAACAAAATTAATCAATCGATTTTCTAAATATCCCCTTTCCTCTTTCTTTTCTTCAAGTTTTTTCCTTGAAAAAAAATCATCGATCGTTATCGTCTTTTTCGTTCACGTCCGTCCCTTTTTCCACGGTTTAACGGCTACCACGGTTTTTTTCGGCTAGGTATCGCCCACAAACTGTCGTTGCGCGCGGCAAAACAACGCGGCTAATGGGCCGAGCTCACGTCGCGGCTCGCTTAACGATCAAGTTCGATTTCTCTTGGCATCGCTGTCGCGCGTGCACACGCATATACACTGCGCGCGCATACATCGGTGTACACGGGGTGCCTTTGAAAATTATCGCCGATTTAGCTCGATACGTGAACGGACCACCTTCCACGACCGGCTGACACCCACCAGCCCGTGCGACCGATCTCGATTCGATTCTCTCGACCTTTCTTTTTCACTCCAACTCGACCGTTCCTTCGTGAAAATTAAATAGGATATTTGTAATATTAATTCATGAAATCCGGCTTCAGCATTATTTCCTTCCTTATCTCGTTGCTTGAAGTCGATTTTTGTCGATGAATTATATATATATATATATATATAATATTATAATATTATAATGTAATATAATATATTATAAAATTATATATATATTATATTATTATATATTTATTTATATATTTATTTATATAATATTTTTTTATTTATATAATAATATTATATAATATTTATATATATAATATATAATAAATATATATATATGTATTTTTATATATCGATTTCTTTTTTTAACGCGTGTTTATGTGTTGTTTGAAAGATATTATGCAGAGTAGAAACTGATGATGGCCACCATTACTATGATCTATTTTAACTTCAGTGAAAGTATATATACTTTGTGACATACTTGTTTTCAAAGATTGTACACGGATTACATTAAAATTCACTTCGTTTAATCACTTGCACTTGCAATCGTTAAGCAAGCGATTTTTCCGGATGATAAGAAGAAAAAAAAAAAAAGAAATAAAAATAACGGTGAAGAGAATCCTTTCGACCGTTAAACAAAACGATAAATCAATCTAATGGGTTCGGATTTTAACTCGAAGCTGTTGTATTGTGACCATAGAAAACGACCATTCTAGGAAACCCTGGTTTCCATGTCAGAACCGAAGTGTGTTTGAAAGACACCTCTAAATCGTGAATGAAATTATTACGTTCTCTTGATAGCACGTATGATTTTTATCGATGTTATCACGTAAGCAAGATTCCAAATAATAAATTATCAGAATCTTCGTGATATCGTAAATATTTTAATATTAAAATCTGTGCAAATAACTGTACCCACGGTTATATCCATCATCCCCTACGTTATTATCCACACTGTTATTCCGTATAATCTACGGAAATCAAGGATCGGGACAACACCTCGTTATTATTCCATTTGCGAAAATTTCACGAGCCACGATCGATCCGCCGAGTAAATAACACCAATTTAAAAGGACGGCGTAACGATGCGTACGTAGACGTTGGCTCGGCGTTCGCGCCACCAGGAAGAGAGCGCGTACGCGCCGCACTTGGTAGTGCAGTTTATAGAAAGCACCAAGATTGCGTTGGTGGTTGCGTTCGCCTCTCTCTGTATGTCAATGCACAAATACGCTTGCGCGAGAGCCGTTCATCCGTTGCGAGCCGATCGGATACTTTGATTACGGATCGGATGAAACAACATCGTGAAAGAGATCAAGAGATGCGTTTTTTAATATATTCGTTTCGAAAAGGGTGGAAGGAATTAATGTAATGTAAATCAGATGGCGATTACGCGATTAAGATGGGTTATTAAGCGAATTAAAGGGGATATTAAAAGTCGAGAGTTCAATTTTTCAAAGTTAATAAAAAGAGAAGGAAATATTTCTTACCAATTTTTATTCATTGTATTGTAATCTTCTTGTGAATCCGTTGCGCGATGGTAAGCGAGTTTTGAAATAGGGTATACATCATATTTTAAGGTCAAAGGTGTACAACACGTATCTGAATGTGTTCCAGCGCGAAGTAACAATAGATACTTCGATTTTTCTTTATACGTAAATTTACGTGCTCGTTAAATCGGTAGAATCGGTACGTAGGCGATGGATCTTTTATTAATGGGGATACGGGTGGAGAGGATTATTCTGTTTAGAATAGAAATCAAAAAGATTAGAATAAAATTTTTCTATTATTATATATGATTAATAATCACATCGCTTTTACAATCATCGTAAATTTTTACGCAATATTTACACGTAAAAAGGAATATTCCTTCGTGTTGTTTGTCGTTTTGTTTTTGTCAAATCGCGCGCTATTGTGCTGCCACATGTAGCCGCATGCACGAGAGAGCCGCGCATGCGCGTGTGTAGATGTCTATAGAAGTATCAAGCGGAGCTCGAGTTAAAAGCGTGCAGTGTTCTCTTGTGCTCCTCGTGCTGGTGGGACCTTGTTTCATGACCCACATAAAGCAAGGCCGTTAACACTACTCACGAGTTGCGCGCGTATGGGTGCGAGCCCCAACGAGCTACTCGCCGTTCTATGGGACCCCACGTGTCCCCTCCACGGTTGCCGGGGGGAGGAGGGGAGGGGCGGGCCGACGACGTGCCCCTCTGATATACGCTACCTGCATATACCGGCATGTACCTGTATATGCCTTCATATTACCATACATCACGTGTACGTGTACGTGTAAGATGAACCAGAGAAGATGGACTTGTTAGATGCGTAAGACAAGTGGACCTGTATGTCGAAATGCGTGTGCGTGCACGAGAGAGCTTGAGAGTCTGTATACAGGTTAGTCATTAAAATCACCGTGAATGATTTTCTATGGATTATGCATTATAGCGCATTTACAGGTCTGAATCTGTTCCTAACTACGTAAATAATTAACCGTTGATAGAGAGAGGTGGAGAAATATTATTATGACCTGAAATATTATTATGTTTACTGATGCAATCATGTTATACGGATTAATAGAGAGTAAAGGGGGGGATGGAAAGCGAAGGAAAAAAAATTAGTTGTTTTCAAATATTTCTATGTTATCTATTCGATTATGCTTGTATGCTTGTCATAAGCTCTCACTAGGTAATAAAATTTTTTTACGAAAAAAAATTTTGAATATGTTAAAAAAATTCCGAAATAATGTGTGTTAAATATGATTTCAGATTTCAATATCCATATTCAATGAAGGTGATTATTTGTTAAAAATGTGTACAAGCAATATTTGGCGTTAAAAAAATTTTATCGAAGAAATGTTCCAAAGAACAGAAGAGAAAATCAGTGTCACTGTTTGTATTTATCGAAAAGCAAAGTAATAAAGGATACGTATACCGAAAGTTAAGCGAGAGAAAAAAGTTAGGTCCTGGGTCCTGTTCGTGTAGTACTTATGTAGCATTTATAGCGTGCGCGCTGAATGCACATCCGTATACGAGTGTGTGCGTGACTGGACAAGTTAGTAGGTCACACGGATTCAAGAATATATCAGTGGGCGTGAGTCGTACACACTAATATCCAACATTATCGTATACCCATGGAGAACTGTGACTTCAAACGCGGCTTCACAAGGTACCTTGATCTTGACTAGATGCAAGGTCCATTTCGCTGTCGTCGTACGTTCAATAAGGCATTGCTCCTATTTGCTTTCGCATTGTTTGCATTACTGCCGCGTATTAAACGGATTTCATGCGTAGCTAGACTTTAAATAGGGAAAGTTTTAAAACTTATTATATATTTACAAATTTTCCGTTAAATCTATTCGTATAATGTATTAAACAAAATTGTTTACTTTGTATTAGAAAAGACCTGGAAATTTTAATAAAAATAAAAATAAAAATAAGAACAAGTGTTTTTATTACAAAACCAGAATACTTTTCTCGAATTATCCGATTACTTTCTCATCATTGATTTGAAAAATAAAAATAAGATACAATCAAGAAGATGAATTTTCATCGATTTTGATGCTTTTTTTTTAAATATATTGTGAATCTTTTAAATAACTTTTCCTTTATATTTTTTCAATTTTGAAAATCTACAACGTATAAAAAATTTAAATACATGTATGTAATATATAATATAAAATAGATAAAAATAATCAAATAATTATATAAAATGTACATATATACATACATACATATGAAAGTTGAATCAATTATATTATATTAAGATTTTCAATCCTAAGATAAAGAAAAGAATAAAATTAAAGATCAGAAGTTCATGAGTGCATAGATTCGCAATATAAACAAAAAGATCAAATAGTGAAAGAAAGATAGAGATAAATTAAGAAAATACCAAAATCAATGCCATTTTTAAAGTGCTGTAAATGAAACATGCAAAGAAAATAAAAAAAATAGCAAAAGATATAGAAATAGGATCAGAATTGATCATTAGCGCCATCTCTTAAATGACATAAACATATTTTTTAAAGATAAGATAAAGTAGAAAAAGAATACAGCGCCATCTGTTGAATATTCTATTTTATTTTACCATTGTCTTAATTGTTTTAATTATTAAAAATCACAATAAAGTTTATGTTGTCAAAACTATATCATATTTTATATTCACATAAATTAATTTTTTATAAACCATATCTATAAATTTTTATATATCTTTCATTATATATAAATTACAAATGTATTAAATATTGCTTTTTTTTTTGTATTATTCATCTTTATATTCTTTAAATATTATTACTTAAACATCTTTTAATTTATAATTAATCAAATGCGTTTTTTCTTAATTTTATTCCAATTGTTGATGAAATATGTTTTGTCGATAAAGAAACAGCGAATAAAAAGTTTTTAACATCAGCGCCATCTCGCGTTTGGATCACCGAAGCTCCGACTTCTTACTAGCATAGCAGAATGTGCAAGGAGGTATGCGAATAGTGTGACGTCACAGACAAAGAAAGCAATATTGTGCGAGAGGGACAGAAAACATCTTCCGATACATTGAGAATTCCATAAAAAGAAAAATCATTAATTACTCATTTTCTACTTAAAATTCCGATACTTTTAAGCTTGCATCTTAAAATTAGAACTTCAAACAAGTTTCCTATATTAATTTTGATACGAAAATCTTTTTCATTAATTATTTATTAACGATTAATGTATCATAATTTTACATCGATACATCGAAAATAATAATCATTAATAAATAATTAATGGATAAAAATTTCGTATTAAAAATGATACAAGAAATTTATTTGAAGCTCTAGCTTGAAGATACAAGCATAAAAGTGTAGAAATTTTGCGTAGAAAACGAATAATTAATTAATTTTCAATATGGCGTTTTCGGTATATCGATGTAATATTATCATACATTAATCGTTAATAAATAATTAATGGAAAAGATTTTCATACTAAAATTGATATAAGAAACTTGTTTGAAGCTCTAGCTTGAAGATACAAGCATAAAAGTGCGGAAATTTTGCATAGAAAACGAATAATTAATTAATTTTCAATATGGCGTTTTCGATGTATCGATGTAATATTATCATACATTAATCGTTAATAAATAATTAATGGAAAAGATTTTCATACTAAAATTGATACAGGAAACTTGTTTGAAGCTCTAGCTTGAAGATGCAAGCATAAAAGTGCAGAAATTTTGCGTAGAAAACGAATAATTAATTAATTTTCAATATGGCGTATCGATGTAATATTATCATATATTAATCGTTAATAAATAATTAATGGAAAAGATTTTCATACTAAAATTGATATAAGAAACTTGTTTGAAGCTCTAGTTTCAAATTTCAAGCATAAAAGTGCGGAAATTTTGCATAGAAAACGAATAATTAATTAATTTTCAATATGGCGTTTTCGATGTATCGATGTAATATTGATGAAATATTAATCATTAATAAATAATTAATGAAAAAGATTTTCATACTAAAATTGATATGAGAAACTTGTTTGAAGCTCTAGCTTGAAGATGCAAGCATAAAAGTGCAGAAATTTTGCGTAGAAAACGAATAATTAATTAATTTTCAATATGGCGTTTTCGATGTATCGATGTAATATTATCATACATTAATCGTTAATAAATAATTAATGGAAAAGATTTTCATACTAAAATTGATATAAGAAACTTGTTTGAAGCTCTAGCTTGAAGATACAAGCATAAAAGTGCGGAAATTTTGCATAGAAAACGAATAATTAATTAATTTTCAATATGGCGTTTTCGATGTATCGATGTAATATTGATGACATATTAATCATTAATAAATAATTAATGGAAAAGATTTTCATACTAAAATTGATATGAGAAACTTGTTTGAAGCTCTAGCTTGAAGATACAAGCATAAAAGTGCAGAAATTTTGTGTAGAAAACGAATAATTAATTAATTTTCAATATGGCGTTTTCAGTGTATCGATGTAATATTATGATACATTAATCGTTAATAAATAATTAATGGAAAAGATTTTCGTATTAAAATTGATACAGGAAACTTATTTGAAGCTTTAGCTTTAAGTTTCAAGCTTAAAAGTGTAGAAATTTTGTGTAGAAAACGAGTAATTAATGTTTTTTCTATGATTTTTTTTTATAACGTTCTCAAAGTATCGGAAGATGTTTTCTGTCCCTCTCGCACAATATTGCTTTCTTTGTCTGTGACGTCACACTATTCGCATACCTCCTTGCACATTCTGCTATGCTAGTAAGAAGTCGGAGCTTCGGTGATCCAAACGCGAGATGGCGCTGATGTTAAAAACTTTTTATTCGCTGTTTCTTTATCGACAGTTAATATTTTATTAACTATTAGAATAAAAAAAGAAATGCATTAGATTAATTATGAAAGACATATTATGCAAGAATATAAAGAATATAAAGATGAATAATATAAAAAGAAGCAATATTTAATACATTTGTAATTTATATATAATGAAAGGTATATAAAAATTTATAAATGCGATTTATAGGAAAAAATTTATGTATATAAAAATACAAGGTAAGATAAGATAGAATAAAATAATTTAAATAAATGTGAATGTGTTTTTTTTACGGTATTCTAGAAATGGCGTTTATTCCATATTTTTATGCTTTATATTTTTTATGCTTTATTCTGCAATTATTTGTCTGCACTTGCTTTCGGCGCCTGATTATAGATGACCTATAGAATTGACCACATTTTTATTATTTCACGTTTAAAATTTCATGTAATTTTTAATTACATTTTTTAAATGTAAAAAATTTTTTATATTTTTAAAAAGTCGACATCGAAAGAAATATATAGCCTGGTATTTAATGCGAAAACAGACAATTATTTATAACTGTATATTGAAATTTAATTTTATTTCCAATTTTAAAATTTTAACATTGCAATTTTAAAACTAAATCGGTAACGTTGAGAATGGGATCTTAGTATCTCCGACATACGAAACCAGAAAAATTTATTGAATATTAGGTCTATTTTGTATCTCGTCTATGCCTATGGAAAAGTTCAACTTCTATTGATTGACCTGGATCTTCAGGATATATTTCGAAATGCTATTATTTGATTTTATATATTGTAATTATTGACTGATTTGTGATAATCATTCTGCTTGGTTAAATATAATTTTTTTTTAATTTAAACAGATTTATATAGGTCATTAAAAAAATAAGAAAAAATAAGATTTTAGATTTTCAAGAATTTTTTTCTTTTTTATTCATCTTCGAATCTTTCTTGTACAGCAATGGTGACAATATTTTTAATTTTTTCCGCGACATTTATCATGATATCCTCCTAGTTCACATTCTAATCAAATACCGAATTATATGAGCAATTATTAAAGTGTTTAGTCCAGATTATTCATTAACATAATATAATATTAAAATTCTTTTCATAATATAATATTAAAAAATTTTTACATACATTTAGTAGAATACAGAAATACAGAAGAATTATGTCGAGTCTAAGAGCATATATATATATGGCACTGTTCCCGTTTAAGAACCGTGTAATAATAAATTTAAATATAAAATTTCGAATTCTTAAAGTATACATTATAAACGAATTAATCTGCGACTAATACACAAAATAGGATTTTAATCTCATTTTCGGCAAGCAATAAAACGCGTGGATTTAAATAGCATGAAATATATTATATTCAACAAATTTGCATTGTTAATGAAAAATTTATGAAAAAATATTGTTTTAATCTTAGAAAGCATTTCTCTTAAAATTTGAATAAAGAAATTTAAATTTCTATTATTTTTAACATTTATTAAATATATCTATATAAACTATTTTTATTCATAATTACGTTGTGCGGATCTAACTTTATAAAAATATTCAATTTTAAATCACGCGTCAAATTCACTTAATTCTCTCTCTGCTTTATAAGTACACATTCCTAAATCAAACAATGAAAAGTAATTGTACCACGCTTCGCAAGAATAATACATTTTTTTTTTTTTATCATAGTTATTATTAATAATCCTTATTCATCTGAACTTCAGATTTACAATCTTCAGTGCACCTAAATCAACAGATTTCGAATTAAACTATACGAATTTCATTTTTTTTTTTTTTTCCCCCTAAAAATCATTTGATTCTCAACAATTCGATAGAGCAACATATTTATATCCTCGCAAATTCTAAACACGTATTCTCACGATACTCGAAACCGCATTTCGTTTCTGTTAAATCAATAACATAGACGCAACAGTTTACTAAAGACTCTTATTGATTGAACAAAACGAACATTGTTAACTATACCATTTGATTATTATTCCTCCATAAAATTTTCTACCGTTTCAAAATTTTCTAAATACAAATATGACGAGTCTATTATACGTGATGTACAGTGGCCTATCGTTCCAGCGTTCGAAGATCAGATAGAAAGAATAGACCTAGATTTAATCTTCAGGCTTCCATTTTTATACTTGTTATTTGGACAAGTTTTCAAACGATAACTCCTTGTTGAGCGAGCAATTTCTTCCTCTGGTGAAGACTCGGAGATTCACCTTCCATCTCCGAGATAGCCTTAACACCGTCGAACGACTTCGAGGTCTTTAAATTATTCAGAGCTTTCAAACAGTTGTTGGTAGTCATTTCTAAAGACTTGGAGCTTTTCAACGACGCGTTCGCCAGTTTCTTTATAGTCTCTGAAATAGGACACTTAATAAAATCGCTCCTCTCCCTTTCCTTTTCTTTAATCCTCTGATTGTTCTCCACCGTCAACAGAGGATCCCCCTTGGTTTCGACTTCCTCCTCCTCGCTCACCTCCTCTTCCTCCACCTCCATGCCCTCCGTTTCTTTGGAATCTTCGCTTTTCGCTTTCTCACTTCCCTCTACGATCTTCGATCCCCTGAAGGCGTCCCGACGCGTCTCGCCCTCACGCGACTCGTTGTTGTCCCCGCTCTCCTCCTCCTCCTCCTTCCTCGGGTCGTCTTGGCCCAACAATAAAGATTTCGGCGGCGCCTCGACGTAACCGCTCTCGTCGCTGTCCACTTCCTCGTCGAGGGAGTCCAACGTTAGAAACGGGGTCTCGTCGTTTTGCAACAGGTCGTGATGGTTCATTCGACCGGGATATTTCTCCATCACTCGTCTCTCCCTGTCCTGAGGATCCTCCAGCCTGCGCAGTATCTCGCCCCTCGGCCTGTAATCTACCACGTCGTCGAAATCCTCGACATCCTCGAAATCGAACACGTGAGATGCCGGATCCTCTATCTCCTCGTCCTCCTCCTCCATCGATTCTTCCTCATCGTTCCGGGACGAGAACCTTTCCCGGCTCCCGTGGTGCACGACCACGTTTCGACGATGAAAACGGGGACTCCCGGCGCAGGTCATGAAGTTTGGGGAACCTTCCGAGTTTCTTCGAGGGCCCGGGCCCCTCGTCACCGTCTCGTTCATCGGGAACATCACTCTTCTGTCCGTTTGCTGCTCCGTTCCATCCCCTGCAACGCATCCCGTACATTACTTAACAAGACAGGGGGGGAGAAAAATGAAGATAGAAGACGGAACAAATATAATAAATATAATTACTTAAACGAAGTACGTTACGATTCGATGAAAATAACGACCTGTAGCATGATGATCCTCCAATCCGGCGGGCGCCCTCTCCTCGCTCGTGGCCGTGCTCGCTGTCTCGCATCCGCTCGAGATACTTCCGTTCTCGTCGGACGACTCGCGGTTCAAAGCGTCGAGCAGCCGCGCGAGCCTCCAGCTATCCTGATCCTGCCAACTTCGCGCCACGTTCTCCAACGTTCTCAACTCGTCCAGGATCCTTTGTTGCTCTATCTCCTCGGCGACTATGTCCTCCTCGATGGCGGACAGTTTCGGCGCGCTTTTCGACCTCTCGAGGGGGGGTCGGTAATTCTGACCACCCGTGCTCAGAAGCAACTTTCGCCGCGGCAACGAAGGGTTCTCGTACAGAGCGTTTGCTAGCGACAACCTGCGAAAATTCGAACAGTGGTTAAAGCACGAAATACATGTATGCAGAGGTATATAACGTAACAGTTTAGCAGGAGGAAGGAGGAGGTGGCACGATCCTGATCCGTGACTTTCGCGCGAGCGCTCGTTCGATCGTGACTCGATCGCGAACGAAGCGCGACCCAAATTGCCTCGCTCGCCGAGAGAGGTCACGGCCTTACGGTAGCTCTTGTTCACCGCCTGCTTCGAGGAAGGTGCACGCGATTTCCCCGTTATCGAATTCGTGCGGGAATCCGCTTATCCGCTCCGTTCTCTTCTTTGGCAAAATGAAATCAAATCGATGTTTCAGGGATCCTTTTCGTTCCTCTTCAACAATTTATAAATTAAATTTCCATGAGAATATATATACATATATATATATATATATATATATTATTCCAGGATGTTAAATTTGAAAATATTCCTTTCTCACTTACTTGCTTGCTTAATTTTAACGCGTTAACATTTCGTGGAAATTATTGGACACACGTGTGTACACGTAGAAGGAAGAAATATAACGAGACTCGTTGAAACGCTAATGGGACACTAATCAGGTTAAAACGACACATTTAGCAGCGGGTAATTTCCTTCGTCACTGTTGCATTATCACCCGTGATATTTTCACTCGAAAAAAAAAAAAAAAAATGAAGAAATTTCATTTCTCGACGCTTAATTTCGAACGGTTCTTTTTTCATTTTTTTCACGAGAAAAATAGAGAAATAGAAGGATGGGTAAGAGGGCAGCACGGGTCGATAGAGCATATTTCGCGAAGCCACGCTTTCTCTCCATCCATCCGTGGATCGATTCTAGCATTACCTAGCATTTTGTCTGGAGACCTTGTCGCGTCTGAATTCCAGGAGCGCCTGCTGCAACCTGGCGTTCAAGGTCGAGGCGAGCCTCCTGGCGGTGGACTCCTTGCTGCAGAGGGCGGCGTGGCACCTGAGCTCGGGCCTCAGCCTTCGCCCCTCGTGCCTGTACACCCAGACGAATAGGCGCGGGTGGGAAGCAGGCGCCGTGCAATAGGTGACCCTGTGCGCCCAGTACTCCGTCAGCCCGTGATCCTTGGTCGTCGCGGTCAAACCGCCGTTCGTGACCGTCAGCCTCATCGACACGTCCGGCCTGCTGCTTGTAACGTAATTGCGCCATAACGTCGACACGGGTTTCTCCACGCAGCCCTCGCCTAAACATTGAAACCCGATCGGCCAATTGATAAATTGGAAATACACGTTTTCAGTTACTTTCGTCACGACGGATGTATGTTCTATGTTTTATGTAATTTTTTTTTTCCTTTTTGATAATTGAGAGAGAGAAAAAATTTGTAACCAATTATTATGATGTATAATAGTTTCACAGTAGAGCTTGGTTTCTTCGTGCATTCCTCACTTGTAATGTTGTTGTTGTATTCAAATTGGGAATCTTTTATCACTGTGTTTCATATTTTTTGATAATTGCTGGAAAGAAATTTGAAAGTTTAGAATTGATTATAATTGGATAAAATATAATAGAAATCTTTTATCATTGTGTTTCATATTTTTTGATAATTGCTGGAAAGAAATTTGAAACTTTGGAATTGATTGCAATTGAACAAATTGTAATGGAAATCTTTTACCACTGTGTTTCATATTTTTTGATAATTGCTGAAAAGAAATTTGAAATTTTGGAATTGATTGCAATTGAACAAATTGCAATGGAAATCTTTTATCACTATATTTCATATTTTTTGATAATTGCTAGAGAAAAATTTGAAACTTTAGAATTGGTTGCAATTGAACAAATTGCAATGGAAATCTTTTATCATTGTGTTTCATATTTTTTGATAATTGCTAGAAAAAAATTTTGAAGTTTAGAATTGATTATAATTGGATAAAATATAATGGAAACCTTTTACCACTGTGTTTCATATTTTTTGATAATTACTGGAAAGAAATTTTGAAGTTTAGAATTGATTATAATTGGATAAAATATAATGGAAATCTTTTACCACTGTTTCATATTTTTTGATAATTGCTGGAAAGAAATTTTAAAGTTTAGAATTGATTATAATTGGATAAAATATAATAGAAATCTTTTACCATTGTATTTCATATTTTTTGATAATTGCTGGAAAGAAATTTGAAACTTTGGAATTGATTGCAATTGAACAAATTACAATGAAAATCTTTTACCACTGTGTTTCATATTTTTTGATAATTGCTGGAAAGAAATTTAAAACTTTGGAATTGATTGCAATTGAACAAATTGCAATAGAAATCTTTTACCACTGTGCTTTATATTTTTTTAATAATTGCTGAAAAGAAATTTGAAACTTTGAAATTGATTGCAATTGAACAAATTACAATAGAAATCTTTTATCACTGTTTCATATTTTTTGATAATTTGTTAGAAAAAAATTTTGAAATTTAGAATTGATTATAATTGGATAAAATATAATAGAAATCTTTTATCATTGTGTTTCATATTTTTTGATAATTGCTGGAGAAAAATTTGAAAGTTTAGAATTGATTATAATAAATGACGATCAATTTGTTTAAACTCTACTTAATCTAATTAATATTTTTATTTTCTCTTACATTTCTTTTGTGTAATAATTGGATAAAATATAATGGAAATCCTTTGCCATTGTGTTTCATATTTTTTGATAATTGCCAGAGAACAAATTTGAAACTAGAAATGATTGTAATTGACAAACAAATTATAATGGAAACTTTTTGCCACTTCAAATATATTTGTAGATAATGAGAGTAGATTTGTAGATAAAGAGAGACTAGTCGATATTGATCTCCAACTGTTGTAGTGGAAATTTTTCGACGATAAATGTATCTCTATAAATGATATTTTTAAAAAATTGTAAGAGAAAAAAAATTTTGAAACGAGTCGTAATTGATGTGATAATTGTAGAATTATCATAATTATTATATGTCAACTTATTATAATGTCGACATCATTTAAAACATATTTTTATTTTTTTTTTATCATTTTTTATTTCATCATTGGACAATTGCGAAAGCAAAAAAAAGTTTGAGATTATCTGTGACGACGATAAATTTGATAAATTTTTTAATGGTTCTATTATATTAAAGATCTCGTACCGCACTATTTACACTATTACACGTTGCAATAGTTTTCAATTATGATAATAATCCCATCACAATCGCGTAACTATTACCGCATCGCTATTATTATTCGATGTTTCTATGGTGTATTATTTAAGAGTGGCATCACCGAGTAACAGTAATCGAGACAAAAGAGATACGCGCACACGAGTTTCACCGCTCGTTTCCGCGTACAATTACACGTGGTACAACTACACGCTACACAATACCTATTACTTGTATTACACAGCTCGAAACAAAGTGGTCCCTCCCCTCACGGACTAAAGAGACGCGATCTACATAAATTCGCATAAATTCGAACGTACAAGACTTTATTTTATGTAAATATAATAATCCAAACAATAATGAAACAGAATCTGTCTCAAATTTGAACTCTGCTTATTCACTGAGCCAATATATTAACTTGCACCATCGCCAATCTTGGAATAAATGACAATCGACTTGTTTAAACTCTACTTAATCTAATTAATATTTTGTTCTCTTACATTTCTTTTGTGTAATAAGCTTTCTTTTGTATTAATTTTAACTGTTTTTTGAGAAACGTACGAATTTAAGCATATCGAAATATTAGGTTAGGTTTTCGGAGAGAAGATTCTATCGATGAGAGGATCGTTTAGTGATGATTTCAAAACTTCGAATGTAGAAATGAGAATCTTGAAAACGAACGAAATTTATATTGAACGAAAATGGATTAAAAGACAAAGTGGAAACAAGAATTAGACGTAAAGTTCGAAACGGTACAAGTCCATTTTTGAATAGAATTATAACCTGTAACGAGAAGTGGACGATCGTATGCGACGATCTGGACAACAGTTCAGACGCTAATGAAAATCCTAAATAAATGCCTAAAAAAGTTACGATGACTGTATATATATGAGTTTGCAAAAGAATAATTCATTATTCTTTTCTGAAACAAGGAAATACTACACAGCGACATCCTACTGCCAAAAAATTAATTAAGAAACAATCCGCATTAGTCGATAGACCACCGTACTCACCAGATATTTTACCGACCGATCATCGCTTGTTTCACCGTTTACACTTGTTTTCGAAAAAATAAAACATTCGACATTCGAGAAGCCATAAAAAATCGCGGCATTCGAAAAATTTTCTTTTATAAAAATGGAATATTTTGACAGTTGGGGAAAAAAATTAATCGAAGCCAATGGCTCGTATTTCGATCGAATAAAAATTATAGTTTCGAAAATGTATATCGTTTTTTTCCGACCAATAAAAACCGTAATTTCACGTGGTGCGAGATAATAAATCAAGAGAGTAATAAAATTGACACCATTAAAAAAACTCTATTTAAAAGAAAAAAAGATCACCGATATATCGTTCACCTGCTTCTCTTCCACCATTCCATCCCATTCTCTTCCACCATTCCACTCCTTCTCTTTCTTCCATCCCAACTCTAACTGTATCCCCGTTTCCTGTATCTCTAAATTGGTAACGGCGATCCAACGGCGAATCGAACTGTATCGAAGGTCAGGATGTGTCTGTCCCTCGATTTAGTTCCAACCGTGTGTGTATATTCCGCGCGCGTATGGAACTTGGAATGTCCAGCCATACACTGGTAACGGCCGTTTCTTCCCCGTCGCTTCTTGGCAAAACTTCGAAAAGAAATCACGCACGTATTTTCTCGCTCCACTTTTAACTCGCGTTAACACGTGAAATTCGCTGGCCTCTTTGGAAAAAAAAAAAAAAGGAAAAAAAAAAAGAACAAAATAAAGAAGATTATTTGCGATGATCGATGAAAGAGTATCGAAAGTTTATTGGCTTTTCTCGTTACATCGGTGTTGCGATATAAGCGGAAATATCCGAGACAATGATTCGGTGGAAATAAATATGCAAAAAATTCTCGCGTGCCAAACTCGTCGGCTCGTTCGAATAAAATAATGGTAATCGCATCCGCTATTAACTCGTTACTCGTTTACAATTTTGGAGAGAATGTTTATTTATAATTCGACGTAGCTTTCTCGAGAAAAGTGTCACGAGTCAAAAATAGAAGAGTAAATAATTGATGCGGTCAAATGTTTCGTAGGAAAGGGAAACGTTCGATTGAAATTTTATTCGAGAATTTATAATGATCTTGCAAAACTGTGTGTGGCTAAGGTCAATAAACTTCGATTAAAAGCGGTTTGTTGAATCTATCTGTCTAGTTAAAAAAAGATCCCGTTCGTTGATTTGAAAAGGGAAGAACGAAAAGGAAGAAAATCACGCTCGAAAGAAGATGTATTCGTAAATAAAAATTTCCTCTTTGTGAAATATATGTATAATGCGATGCACATAATAATAATCGTTCAAATTTGTTAATTAAATTATTATCCGCGTTTTACTTTTTACTAATTAAATCTGTTAATTAAATTACTGGTAAATATGGAACAATTATTTCATATTGTTATAATTAGATCCTACACGTGCGACTTATTTTTATTATCGGCAACGCGTTAAATTTGATATATTGATTGAAAAAAAAAAAAAAAAAAGAGAAAAAGGAATGAATTAATTTAAATCAGGCGTAGAAGAAATAATCGAAGTTGACGATTGTTGTAAAAGAAATATCGCGTGATTTATTTACTTCTTGTAATTACCAATTATGTAAATGATCGATTATTTTTCACTTTTCAAAAGATCGAGATATTTTATGAATATTAATCGAATACGATTCGATACGTTTAAACGAGTTTCAGAATTCCTAAATAAAATAAATTTATGTCTTATTATGCAAAAAATTTGTTGAATCTAAAATTATCCTGATCATAAAAGTGTATAAAAAAAACCGGCTTGCACGATATTGTTTTTTTCTCTTAAAAAGATTAACCAAGTTACTTATATCTTTATTTCACTCGAGGTTATATCTCATATTTATATTATAATCGAGCAGATAGTTATTTTTTTATTATTATTATTATGTTGCTATATTTAAAATTTTTTGAAATATCACATAACATAATTAAAGTTTCAAAATCGTTCGCAATGATCAATTTGATAAAATCGCTAATTAATCGTCGGTTTCGTTATTCAACAATTATTACTTCACTGAGCAGATTTCGTTTATGATTTA